TTACTTTTGAACTTTGGTAAAAAATCAAACATTTCTGCTACTTTGAGCTCAATTTCAAGGTACTTTTCATTGTAAAACCAGTCAAAATCATCTCAATTTCTGTAATATGTCTTCCATTCTATAAAATGAGACCAGGAAAACTGGAATACAACAATAAATACCATACGAAAATACAGTGCAAAGTCGCTGTTTTAATCCAAAAACACGGTCAAAGTTTTTTTTTTCATTACGCACTGTGTGCTGCAGGATTTTTTTTATACTGCGCACACTGACGACATAGACCCATTCTTTCACATGTAGGCCAACCAGCTTTCTCTCACTAGATTTGAGGACGCTAGAATTTGGGCATACTAGTACGTCAAAAACCCTTGTGCGTAAGCCGTACTAGTACGTCCGAAACCCTGAAAGGGTTAAAGTGCAGGCATTGTACTTCCCATTTCCAGGACTCAAGTCCAGCTATATAAAAATAACCGGTTTCCCTGAATCCCTTCACTAAATATTACCCTGCTCACACTCCAACAGCTCGTCAGGTCCCAAATACCATTCGTCTCCATTCACTCCTATCTAACACGTTCACGCACGCTTGCTGGAAGTCCAAACCCCTCGCCCACAAAACCTCCTTTACTCCCTCCCTCCAACCTTTTTGAGGACGACCCCTACCCTGCTTTCCTTCCCTACAGATTTATAAGCTCTCCATGTCATTCTACTTTGATCCATTCTCTCTAAATGATCAAACGACCTCAACAATCCCTCTTCAGCCCTCTGACTAATACTTTTATTAACTCCACGCCTTCTCCTAATTTCCACACTCCGAATTTTCTGCATAATATTCACACCACACATTGCCCTTAGACAGGACACCTCCACTGCCTCCAACCGCCTCCTCGCTGCAGCATTTACAACCCAAGCTTCACACCCATATAAGAGTATTGGTACTACTATACTTTCATACATTCCCTTCTTTGCCTCCAGAGATAACGTTTTCTGTCTCCACATATACGTCAATGCACCACTCGCCTTTTTTCCTTCATCAATTCTATGATTAACCTCATCCTTCATAAATCCATCCGCTGACACGTCAACTCTCAAATAGTATCTGAAAACCTTCACTTCTTCCATACTCCCCCTCCCCAATTTAATATCCAATTTTTCTTTATCTAAATCATTTGATACCCTCATCACTTTACTCTTTTCTATGTTCACTTTCAACTTTCTACCTTTACACACACTCCCAAACTCTTCTACTAATCTTTGCAATTTTTCTTTATAATCTCCCATAAACACAGTATCATCAGCAAAAAGTAACTGTGTCAATTCCCATTTTGTATTTGATTCCCCATAATTTATTTTTATAAATGCCCAAATCACCTCAACAATCCTCCTCAGCCCTATGTGATGCCACACAGTCCAAATTCTCTGTACAATGTTCATATTGCATGTTGCTCTCAAACATGACATCACTGCCTCTATCCTTTTCAGCACTGGGAAGTTCAGAGTCAATACCTCACATCCATATAAAAGTGTTAGTATTACTAACACTTTTACGTGGATTTTTTATTACTAACACCCAATTTTCTTTTCTTAACATGTTAGCCGTTTCCCATCAAGGCAGGGTGACCCAAAAAGAAAGAAAAAACTTTTATTTTAACCCTTTCAGGGTCCGTCCCGTAGATCTACGGCTTTACGTTCAGGGTCCAAACCGTAGATCTACGCCATGAGCTCAGCTCACTCTGATAAACTGTGAGTGGTACATTTGGGCCTAGATATGAGAGAATACATCTATGTGGTATGTGTGCACCACATAAAACAGATCCTGCAGCACACTGTGTATAATGAGAGAAAAAAAATGAAATCATGATTTTTCGATTAAAACAGCAACTTTGCAGTGTTTTTTCGTATGTTTTTTATAGTTGTATTTGCGATTTCTTGGTCTCATTTGATAGAATGGAAGACATATTACAGAAAATAGAGATGATTTTTGATTGGTTTTAGCACTGGAAATGGCTTGAAACAGAGCTCAAATTAGCAGAAATGTTAAATTTTTGCCGATATTCAAGAGTAAACAAACGACCTCATATGTCTAATACACGCCAGCTGGTGGGTCTAATATACATTCACAAATATGGTGATGATATTTATACAATTATTACAGTATTGCATAACAGTAAATCTTCTATTTTTTGGGGTGTGAATAAAAATTCATTATGTGAATATAAAATCAAAATGGAATTTCTTTGTAAAGCCTCAAAACTAACTAATGAACAGAGGAAATGTTAGTTTAGTGCCAGGAATGCCTACATTGTTCATTCTGGACCCTATTTTGAAATTGGAATATTTTGAACTTTGTGTTAAATTGGCCAAATTAACAATTTCCGATCACTTTATTTTGTAGCTGAAACAGTTGACTTGGTGATTTCTTGTGCTCAATCGATAGAATGGAAGTAATACTAGTGAAATAGCTAAGAATTTGGTTGATTGGAATAATGTAATTGGCCTAAAATGGGAGTCAAAGTCGGCAAAATCGCCGATTCGTAAATATCGCTGACACATCAAAATTCGCGAGAGCATAATTTCGTCAATTTTCCACCAAATTTCGTACTTTTTGTTTTATTACCTTCACAAAAAGATTCTCTACGATTTCATAAGAAAAAATAACAAATTTTTTTTTTGAAAATTCTTGGACACTGGTGCGTGACTCCAGATTTGGGCCTTGGACCCTGAAAGGGTTAAAGACTATAATAAGACAGAGATCATGACAGCCAAGAAGATGACGGGGTGGGTATTGAAAACTTTCAAAACAAAAGAAATAATGCTGATGGTGATGCTCTTCAAATCGCTAATGCTCCCTCATTTAGAATATTGCTCAGCGCTGACAGCCAGGTTCAAAGCAGGAGAAATATCGGGGCTGAAACAAATACAGAGATCATTTACAGCTCACATTGAGCCTGTAAAGCACCTAAACTACTGGGAATGCCTTCAAGTCTTGAACATGTACTCATTGGAGCAGAGGAGAGAGAAATATATGATAATATATACCTGGAAAGTACTCGAGGGCCTGGTCCCAAATCTGCACACTGCCATAACAACATACTGGAGTGAGAGATATGGGAGGAAGTGTAAAATAAACCCAGTGAGGAGCAGGGGTGCAGTGGGGACAATAAGGGAACACTGTATCAACATCCGGGGTCCCAGACTATTCAACATCTTACCAGAAGATATCAGAAACATGGCTGGGACAAGTGTAGAAGCCTTCAAGAGGAAACTGAACAAGTATTTTCACCAGGTGCCAGGTCAACCAGGCTGTGACAGATATGTGGGGCAGCAGGCCTCCAGCAGCAACAGCCTGGTTGACCAGGCAAGCACCAGATGAGTCTGGCCCAGGGCCGGGCTTAGAGAGCAGATTAACTCTCGAAACTCTTCGAAGGTATATATCAAAGGTATATCATCGTTCTACACTTTTACCATCATTCATACATAATCACTCTCTTCACAGAGATGATCAGATACGATAGTCTAGATGTCCCTCCAAACAGCCAATATCCCAAACCCCTCCTTTAAAGTGCAGGCATTGTACTTCCCACCTCCAGGATTCAAGTCTGGCTAACCAGTTTCCCTGAATCCCATTCACAAAATATTACCCTGCTCACACTCCAACAGCTCATCAGGTCCCAAAAACCATATGCCTCCATTCAGTCCTATCTAACACGCCCACACACGCTTGCTGGAAGTCCAAGCCACTTGCCCATATATAGATTTTTCATTACTCTCATTCACCTTGCTCTAGTCCACATTCACTCTTAATTTCCTTAATTACATACCCTCCCAACTTCATCTGCCAACCTTTGCAGCTTATGTTTAGAAGCTCCCAAGAGAACTGCATCATCAGGAAAGATCAACTGTACAACTACCACTTCCTATCAGATTCAGCATCTTTTAATCCCACTTCAATCCCTTCTTCCCCAGCATTTACTTCTTTTACAACTTCATAATTAATGTTAAACAACCAAGAAGACAGCCTGCATCCCTGTCAGTCCTACTTTTGCTGGAAAATAGTCCCTCCTCCCTCCCACTTACCCTAACTTGAGCCTCACTATCTGCATAAAAATTCTTTACTGTTTTTAGCAAACTACCACTTATTCCATACATTTGCAACATCTACCACATGGCTTCCCTATCCATCCTATCATGGTCCTTTTCTAAATGTAACAAACAGCTCTATATCCATTTCTAAGTAATGCATATTTATATTATACAACATAAATACTTTGTCTACACATCCCCTATCCTTAATAAATATCCACTGCTCCTTTGCAATCCTATTTTCTGTCTTATCTCTAAACCTTACCATAATAATTCTACTGTAAACTTTTATATTGGTATTATCAATACAGATATAAATTACTATACTATATATGTGTAAAATTTCATGCAGAAAAACTTTATAGTCTTTTTTATCACATAGGTTCCAGAAGAACTGAGCTTAGTACAGTGCCATTTCCAAATTCTAAACTGTACTTTACTTACCTCAAACCAATGTTTTCATTATTAAAAATTAAAATTAAAACCACTGAACAACAGACTCAAGTAATATACAGGTTTCTCTGGAGATTTCTCGAACCTGAACCCTTAGAAAGTGTAACAGAGATCTGTTATGGTTAGATATGCTGTTCAGAAACAAAATATCAGTTATATGGACAGTGGTGTTTAAGGCAACCTCAATCATGAAAACCTTAGTGTTTTAGAGAAGCTCCAACATAGTTAAATATTTACATTATTGTTATATTCACAGGAAGCACTAGACTCATGAGGGTCATACAGCACTGGAGAAATGGTAGGCAATCAGGCTTAATCTAAGTAAAGCAAGGATAGTTCCAATTTTTTGAATCAAGGACTCTTCACCAACATCAAGAAACGTTCTAGAAAAGTCAGACATACATAAAATACAGTAGACAGATATTAAGAATGAGAAGTAAAATTTAAGAAAAATTACAATTACTTACTCTGTGCAGCACAAACTTGAGACACTTTTCTTTTATTGTCTTTATCGTCTGCCATGATCTTGCCAAGAATAGAACTAAATCTAGTATCTCTACTTCTGTCTTTTTTATGTAACTGTCCTATACATACTTCCTCTACTTGTTTGGCACATGACTTGTGAATATTCATTTCACAATCTGTTTAAAAAAAGAAAAAAGAGGAAGTTTAGTGTTTAATAAATAATGGATAATGTATTCATTTAAATATAATTTAAACACTAGATACAGTAATTATCTCTTTTTCACACTAGGCATGCATGGAGGTCCCCAAATTTTAGAATATTCTGAATATAAGAAATACAAGCACCCTCCTTATTTCAATAATTCTGAACTCAAAACCTGAAAAATGTTTGCTCGTACAGTACCAAGGAATTCAAAATTCTGAGGGGTCATTACTGAATTTCAAATTGATTATTTGAATTTGAGAGAACTCTGAATACTAAAATAAAAATGTAGAATAAATAATATATTACTTAACTAAAATACAAAGCATTTTTAAATTAATACTGTTTAATGCAGTGTAAATAACCACCAAAATGAAATTAAAATTTTCAAATAATTTTAGTGTGAAGAATGGTTATTGAATGTTGCAGCAAGGAGGCTGGAGGCACTGGAGTTCTCATGTTGGAGGTCATTATGAGGTGTCAGTACTATGCAGAGAATAATAAGTGAATAAACTTTAAAATGGTGTTGTATTATTAAAATTATGACTCAGACAGTGGAGGAGTTCATGAGATGATTTAGTCATTTTGAAAGAATGGAACGTAATTGTTTCAACAAGTTTGTGTATAATTCCAAGGAGGATACAAGAGAAAGTTAGAGGGAGTGCACAAAGATGATTTTAAACAGTATGGTCCTGAGCAGAGATGACAGAAAGAAGGCCAGAAGCCCATCTGCATTCTGTTGCAAGAAGAGCTTGTTGGTCACTAATGAAAACCAATGACATTGCCATCAATTTTACAGAATACTAGCAAGTGTATGTGCTGTACAGCAGAATGCCCTGAGTAACCTGAAAGTTTATTTCCAAAACCTCCAGCATGCCAGGGACTCAGTAAAAGACAACTTTTTTCTGTCTGTTTAAGATGCACTAGAGCAAATGGGATGTAATTCTACAATATACGTGCAATCGAAGATTGAGTGAGCATATGCACAAATACAAGAAACATATCTGTGGACTGGAAGCAGTGAGCAGTGGAAGCTGATAAACACTCAGCATGTATAATACACTACATTATGATACATTTACATATTCCCATACCTTCTGTGGTAAAATGCCTACTTGGAATGTAGGGGAATTTTTATGTGAGGTACAGTACATATATAATAAAGAAAGAGGATGTACAGTGGAACCTCTACTTACGAGTTTAATCCGTTCCGTGACCTTGCTTGCATCTGGATTTGCTCGTGTGTCGAGTCATTTTTCCTCATTTAAATTAATTGAAATAGAATTAATCCATCCTAGAGGAATTCCAGGCACAACAAAATGCTTGAATATTTCCCTAATATCAACTCTTTAGCTTATTTATCTATCACAGTTCATCTGATATGACATAATAAACAATATTAATAACATAGAAACATGATATATACACTAAATGAATGAAATATGTCATTACATATTTGAGTAATGGTAGTGGTGGTGGTGGCACAGCGGCCATTGTTCTTGCTCCTGACTACAAATCTTCCCATGCTTTTATTATAACAGAAAATAGAGTGCTTGTAAGGCAAAATAATAATAATAACAATAATGATGATGATGATGATGATGATGATGATAATAATAATAACATGTAATCAATAACAATAATAATAATTATAATAATACAGCATTTACCTTGGAGAAGAGATGCTGGGCACAGCAGCGTATGCTGTCAGGAGTTCATTTTGTTTTGTACTTTTTCTAATGCTTAACTGCTACACTCTTAATGGTACACTTTTAACCCTTTGACTGTTTCGGCCATATGTATGTACGTCTCACACGCCAGTGTTTCGGACATACATATACATGTACTCAATGATTCTAGTGGCTTCAAATCAAGCAGGAGAAAGCTGGTAATCCCACATGTGAGAGAATGGGTCTGTGTGGTCAGTGTGCACTGCATAAAAAAAATCCTGCAACACGCAGTGCATAATGAGAAGAAAAAAACTCTGTGTTTTTGGATTAAAAAGCCGAAATTGAGGTGTATTTTTGTATAGTATTTATGGTTGTATTCTTGTCTTCATGGTCTCATTTGATAGAATGGAAAACACATTACAGAAATAGTGGTGATTTTGATTAGTTACACAATGAAAACGACCTTGAAATTGAGCTCAAATCAGCGGAAATGTTCAATTTTTACCATTGTTCAAGAGTAAACAAATCATACCACACATCCAATACACATCAACTGGGGAGTCTAATAATCTTTCACTAGTGCACTGATATTATTTATACCACTTTTACAATAATGCAGTAGTCTGCATAACAGTAAATCTATTTTTTGTGTGAATAAAAAATCAAAATAGAAAGCAAGAGTAATATAAGAGGGGCCTGGAGACGTGACTAATGAACAAAGGATATATTATTTTAGTGCCAAGAATGTCTGCATTGTTTATTCTGGACCCTATTTTGAAATTGGCATCATTTTTAATTTGCATAAAATTGGCCAAATTGCCAATTTCTGACCACTTTATTGGGGAGTTAAAATCGGTAAATGAGCGATTTCTTTTACTCAATTTATAGAAAAAAATGGAGTTCTAAAGAAATTTCTATGAGTTTGGTTGACTGGAGCAATGGAATTGGCCGAAAATTGGGCTCAAAGTCGGCGAAATCACGGATGCATATATGTCGCCGAGATCGCTAACTTTGCGGGAACGTAATTCCATAAATTTTTGATCAAATTTCGTAGTTTTGATGTCATTAGCATCAGGAAAAGATTCTCTATCATTTCATAAGAAAAAAAGTAATTTTTTTTTCCCAAATATTTTGTGACATTGCGACATAGAATGACAGTTTCAGAAAGAGGCTTGCGACAGTCAAAGGGTTAATGGCACACTCTTAATGCTACACTTTTAATGGTACACTCATAATGCTGCATTCTTAATGCTGCACTCTAAATGCTACACTCTTAGTTTGTGTGTATCAATGATTTCCTGCTTTAATTTTATGGGAATCATCCTCTTTTTCTTCTCAGCACTGTCCTTTGCTTTCTTGGGACCCATGGTTAGAAACAAGATATTCTGCAAAAATAACTGCACAAAACGTAAGCAAATCACGAGAATTATCTCCACCGCCAGTTGAAGCACACGCGGACTGAGTGTTGTTGTCATACACGTAATGCCATCTCATGGTGGTGTTCTCAAACTCACTTATATGTAGTACTATTATAGTATTATTTATTATTATTAGTACATACGTATTATTATAATAATTTATATTATATTACGTACATTATTACATAATTATTATACGTATTAGTATTATTCTAATTATTATCATTCTTATAACAATACTCATGCTTACCATTTGGAATATTTATTCGCACAAAAAATAGAAGATTTACTGTTATGCAGACTACTGCATTATTGTAATAATTGTATAAATACAGTGGACCCTCGCCTAACGATGGCATCGCATAACGTTAAATCCGCCTAGCAATACATTTTAACGCAAAAACTTTGCCTCGCCTAGCGCTAAAAAACTCGCTCAACGCGATTCGTCCGAGACGCGTCCACGTGCGGCCTGAGCCAGCCTTACTTGTTCCGTGGGTGGCAGTGTTTACAAGCCAGCCTCCGCGGTCACATCCACGCATACAATCGGAACATTTCATATTATCACAACGTTTTTAGTGATTTCACCTGCAAAATAAGTGACCATGGGCCCCAAGAAAGCTTCTAGTGCCAACCCTGTGGTAAAAAGGGCGAGAAATACTATCGTACCACTGTCAGCTGCTGCTGCACCACCGTCAGCTGTTGCTTTACCAGTCAGCTGTTGCTGCACCACCGTCAGCTGTTGCTGCACCACAGCTGCTGCTGCACCACAGTCAGCTGCTTCTGCACCTCGGTCAGCTGTTGCTGCACCATGGTCAGCTGTTGCTGCACCACAGTCAGCTGTTGCTGCACCACCATCAGCTGTATTACTCGAAGATGTGGAGTGTTGTTGGTATGGCTTAACATGAAACAATTACCGAGAAACGATTAACCCCAGAGGGTTAGCCACCCAGGATAACCCAAGAAAGTCAGTGCATCATCGAGGACTGTCTAACTTATTTCCATTGGGGTCCTTAATCTTGTCCCCCAGGATGCGACCCACAACAGTTGACTAACACCCAGGTGAACAGGAAAAAATGCCTGGAACTAGTGCTCATATTGGTAAGGTTAGTGGGGAGGATGTGGAACAGTTGGTGGAGAAGGACAATGAACTAACACTGATGAGTGCTTAGATCATCTCAACAGCAAGAGGCCGACTGAGGAAACTGCTTCGGAGGAGGGGAGAGAGAAATTGAAGTTGCCTACTTCAAAGATTAAGGAAATGTGGTGCAATGTGGCTTGAAGTGCAAACCTTTTTTGATGAAAATCACCCTGACACAGCTATTGCAAGCCGTGCTGGTGACTATTACACTAACAATGTTATGAACCACTTTAGGAAAGTCAAAGGAACGAGAGGTACAGGCCTCTATGGACAGATATATTGTGCGACAGAGGTCCAGTGACTCTCAAGCTGGTCCTAGTGGCATTAAAAGAAGAAAGGAAGTAACCCGGAAAAGGACTTGACACTTCAAGTCCTAATGGAAGGGGATTCTCCTTCTAAACACTAAGACCATCCACACTCCTCCCTACTCCCATCCCATCAGTCATCACCAGATCTTCAATAAAGGTAAGTGTCATGTATTGTACATCTCTTCTTCAGTTTGTGTGTATTAAAATTAATATTTCATGTGGTAAAAAATTTTTTTTTCATACTTTGGGGTGTCTTGCATGGATTAATTTGATTTCCATTATTTCTTATGGGGAAAATTGATTTGCCTAATGATAATTTTGCCTAACGTTGAGCTCTCAGGAACGGATTAATATCGTTAGGCGAGGGTCCACTGTGCAGTCAACCCATTCATGACTGAGTATTTGGAATGGCCACTCGGAAAAAAATCAAACATTTCTGC